CTACTATTCATAAACTTTCTTTTATATAACATATTTGTAACATTTTAAGTTTATAACATAATATTTTAAAATCATATTATTATTATTATTTACATTTTTTACATGTTATATAAGTAACTATTTAATTAAATGAATTTAAAGAAAAAGAAGAGAATAGTATGTACACATATGTTCAAATTTATACTTCCATAGAAATAATTTATATCTAAATGAAATTATAAATTCTAGACGAATCTGGTCCTTATTTATTAAGGTATCCTAATTGTTATCTTATCTTATTTTATAAGTTCAAATATTTAATATCCAAGCAATTAAAGAAATTATTTCTTTTACTATAATGTGAAGCTGCTGGTTGCAATAGGATTGTAGGTAAACTTTTTTTGTAGCAATGTGATTAACGCCTTGGCTTTGACCTATAGTGATGACCCTGACAGAGAGACACATACCCTTATATTGTAGGTAAAGTTATCCTAGTAAGTTTTCTTCCCTTACTATTGGGACGCCTTGGGTACAAACTACATTTTATCAAAAAGTGGGAAAGGAGAGACCGAACTCCTTGTGGAACAGGAACATTGTTGGTCAAAGTGGGTAGTTCGCATGTTTCGAGGGATGAGCCTTCAGGCTCCCATCACTTGGTGTTTGTGTTTCAAACCAAAACCAAAAACAAACACTACAAATATGCTGCCACCGCTACACTCTCGCACTCGCAGCCGCCAAGGTATTCACTCGCACCTTTTTTTCACGTTAACCTACCCTAACTTTCTTTCACTGCTTCACTCCTTCATTCGCCGCATCTTCTTCCTCTTCTTCTCTCTCTGCGTACCTGTAAGTTATTTCTCATTCTCTCTACCGACAACGTTCACTGTTTATGCAGAAGTTTTTTTCGTTTCCTTATTCTTATCTTATTTCCCTGTCAGGATATACTACAACCGGTACAAAAGCGATGGCGCTTGTTTTTGAGGTTTACCGCGCTACATCTACTATCACATTGTCTCACTTTGTATTCTATTAAGATTTTGTTCCTGCAGTTGAATCAAATTGATTTTCTTAATCGAGCTTTGAGTCTTTTTTGGTTCATTTGAATGTTTGAATGAACAGTGCCTTGATGGATGCCATAATATGTTGTAGCTAGATGCCATGACTGCTCATGTGTGCCACCTGTTTGTCATTCCTGCCAGTGCATGATATTTTTATGGTTTTAAACTGTAATTCAGTTATTCCTGGAAATCTACCTTTTTTTTTTCTCAGGTTCTTGGCAGATTCAACCGTGCTCGCGCTGCTCGGTTGACACTCCCTCATCATGTGTGCCAAACTCCTTTGTTTATGCCTGTGGGCACACAAGGTCCACTTTCAAACTTGATTCTTTCTGTTCGGTTGCCGCAATGCGATAAAAACAATTTTTCTATTGCTCTGTATTCTCCTCCTTAAAACTTTGGTTGTACTGAAAAAACAGGGTCCATTTTTTAAATGAGTTCCCAAATGGCTAAAATATTTTTGGATTCAGTTTGGTCTGCTTAGTTTAATCTTAGAAGGTTTCACTCTGTCCAGGTGTTTGTTTAGACCAAAATGTTTCTTCTGTTAGTCAGTTAATTTGTTCACACGTGGCAAGCTTTTGAAGGAACAATCTGATCTAATAAAAACATTTTAAGTGATCAAAGTGAAATCTTTTAAATTGAGGGTACCAAACTGGAACAAAAATTTAGATGAAAGATCAAAATCATATTTTAGTTGTCCCCAAATTCTTTTCATTTTAACTGGAACAAAATACTGAATTTATGTTTCTTATTTTGAAGGGAATTATTTTCTTATGGGCTATGATTTTTGTTTGTCCATGGAAAATACTATATTAAATGATGGTATTTGCATTGATTGATGTGATTGTCTTGGTTTGTAAGGAATTTGCTGCATTGCTTACTGGTTGTGGTTCACTTGAGATGCTGCAATTTTGTCTTATAAATGGGATTTTTGAATGGTCAGGAACAATAAAGGGATTGACAAATAGTCAGCTTGAGGATATAGGTTGCCAAATAATACNATCACATTGTCTCACTTTGTATTCTATTAAGATTTTGTTCCTGCAGTTGAATCAAATTGATTTTCTTAATCGAGCTTTGAGTCTTTTTTGGTTCATTTGAATGTTTGAATGAACAGTGCCTTGATGGATGCCATAATATGTTGTAGCTAGATGCCATGACTGCTCATGTGTGCCACCTGTTTGTCATTCCTGCCAGTGCATGATATTTTTATGGTTTTAAACTGTAATTCAGTTATTCCTGGAAATCTACCTTTTTTTTTTCTCAGGTTCTTGGCAGATTCAACCGTGCTCGCGCTGCTCGGTTGACACTCCCTCATCATGTGTGCCAAACTCCTTTGTTTATGCCTGTGGGCACACAAGGTCCACTTTCAAACTTGATTCTTTCTGTTCGGTTGCCGCAATGCGATAAAAACAATTTTTCTATTGCTCTGTATTCTCCTCCTTAAAACTTTGGTTGTACTGAAAAAACAGGGTCCATTTTTTAAATGAGTTCCCAAATGGCTAAAATATTTTTGGATTCAGTTTGGTCTGCTTAGTTTAATCTTAGAAGGTTTCACTCTGTCCAGGTGTTTGTTTAGACCAAAATGTTTCTTCTGTTAGTCAGTTAATTTGTTCACACGTGGCAAGCTTTTGAAGGAACAATCTGATCTAATAAAAACATTTTAAGTGATCAAAGTGAAATCTTTTAAATTGAGGGTACCAAACTGGAACAAAAATTTAGATGAAAGATCAAAATCATATTTTAGTTGTCCCCAAATTCTTTTCATTTTAACTGGAACAAAATACTGAATTTATGTTTCTTATTTTGAAGGGAATTATTTTCTTATGGGCTATGATTTTTGTTTGTCCATGGAAAATACTATATTAAATGATGGTATTTGCATTGATTGATGTGATTGTCTTGGTTTGTAAGGAATTTGCTGCATTGCTTACTGGTTGTGGTTCACTTGAGATGCTGCAATTTTGTCTTATAAATGGGATTTTTGAATGGTCAGGAACAATAAAGGGATTGACAAATAGTCAGCTTGAGGATATAGGTTGCCAAATAATACTTGGAAATACTTATCACTTGGCCCTTCGACCTACTTCCGAGCTTCTTGATGAAGTTGGTGGCCTTCATAATTTTATGAATTGGCAAAGGGGTCTGCTTACAGATTCTGGTGGCTTTCAAATGGTAGTTCATGACCTTGTGTATATTTGGTTATAGTTTTTGTTAAATGTAACTAATGGACCTTGGGCCATCTCTTTGTATCTTCTTTGTATTTGAGACACTTATATATATGCATGATCCTATGGTGGAACAGACACACAAAGAGGGATTATTTTTGTTTCTTCACCAGATATCTCAACAGTTTTTAATAACATTGCATGTACTTTGTGATTTCTAGCATTCTCACAACCGTTCTATTATCTTTCATCCTGAATTATTTAGTGTAATATGTTATGTAATTGAACCAATATTATACATTTGTTGATTGATAATAATGTTCAGCATCCGTGTTAAATGAATTCATTTTTGTTTCACTGATGTTTTAGGTTTCGCTGTTGCATCTTGCTGACATCACAGAAAAAGGTGTGACATTTCAGGTATTTTTTTTTCCTTTTGAAGATATAGAAAATATTTCGATGGTGTGTTCTTTGCTTCACTCATGATCAGTGTTCTGAAATCTGGTTTGTGACTGTGTCTTCCAAACTTATAACTTTGACTGCAAACCAGTGTGATTAAATCCTAAACCATCTAAAT